CCCATCCCCTCCCCCCGCAGGTGCCATCCGCCGCCATCCGCCCTCTCTACCCCCCCATCCCCAGGTGAGGGGGGTGAGTTCAGGAAGCGGAGACCCCGAGGAACCCAGCAGGGTCACCATTTGCAGCGCAACATGGCAGGTAAAGGAGAAATCCCCCTCGCCCCCTGACAAGGCACCGCTTCCTTCTTTCTCCCTCCATCACCCCCTAGCGACCGCCCGCGCCTCGCGCGGAGCCACAGGACGCCCCTCGGGTTTGAGGGAGTAGGGTCCAGAGGGGTGGGGTGGGGGCGGGGAGGGCTCCCGGGAGGCAAGTGGTCACAGTGAGAGTCACTGGGCTTGGAGAACGGGGCTGGCGCCGTGGCGGGGGGGGGGGGGGGGTGTGCCGGCGAGCTTGGGGTGAGGCGTGGGTGGGGCGGGGTGGGGGCGCGTGCAGATTTGTCCCTCCCGCTCGGGAGCCTGGTGGATCCTCTCCCACCTCCCCACCTCGCCCCTTGCCTTTATTTTTTTTTTCCTGCAGGTCTTCATTTAATTTGTATTTTTCCCCCTGCTGCAAGTCTTCTTGGGTGTATATACACATTTATTTTGCACCGAGAAGAGCGCTTTACAAGTTAAATACAATGGGGGCATATGTGTATTTTTTCCCCCACTGTGGATGCCAGTATTTTTGAGACTGGAAGCCTAAATTTTTTGTTTCGAACCATTTCGTTTCCATTTCTTCCCTCTTACCGCCGAAGAGTGCAAGGCCTTTCATGTACAGCAAGTTGCATGAAAATAATTTAAACTTTCCGTTTAGTATGTTAGCTTTTTTGCAGATATCCTTTTCCCAAAAGGGTTTGGTAGAGTTAGTTAAAATAGTTGCGGAGTTCAGAGATATAAATAGCAAGGAGAAGAGAGATTTAGGTAGAAGCTTTGAAAGGGAGGGGAAAGGATGTAGAGAGAAAATCAGTTTAGGAATAAATTTAGCAAAGAATAGGGGTGATGGGGGAGAGAGAAGTAATGTAATTGCTTTGAGAATTCTTTTTGTACATGTTGGTGTTGCTAAATCTTTTCCTTCATGTAGTAGAACCAACTCCGGATTTAGATTCAGTTTCTTTCTCCGTAGAGCCCCAGGACATTTTCACCATTTCGACCTCAGTACTTGCACGTGAAATAGAAACATTCCGCGATGAGACCAGTTTTCCGTGCTATTATATTCATTATTTAGATGATTAAACCTTTTGAAAAAGTTAACGTGTCGGATTGACTTAAGGTTTGCTATAAACAAGTTGCTTGTTGGCCTTGTTGAATAATGAAATGAGATTAAAATTGTTTTGCACGAGATGACATGTTAGCGAAATGAATTCTTTGCCAGGTCCTTTGGAGTCGAGGGATGAGGTGAAGGGAGGCAGAACAAGCTTCCTTTGACAGTCTCTTTAGCAGCATTCATTTCGGTTTCTTTTCCTCTCTGTCTGGAGCCAGTGATTTGCTGGTAATGAATGCAAAGAAATGGGTGTAGTGTTTGCTGTGTGTGCACTTTGGTGATAGGGTTCATATGAATCATTACTTCTTCCCCAGGCAGTAATGTTCCCGAAGTTTTCTCTTCGTTCTATGTTTCATGGTAGTTAACCTTATTAATTCTTCTGCAGGCTTTTTGTACACTTAAAAAGAAAACTCTTTAACTCTTGGTATTTACTTTTTTTCTGGTAGGTCTTGCCTGAATGTAAGGCTTTTACTGTATTTGAGAGGAGGTTTGTGAACAGATGTATAATGACCGTAGATCATGTGCCTTTAAATAATTTCATACCTGGAATGTTTGTTTTTTTCTTTTTAATACAGTACCAACTATTGGGGTCTCATCTTTTTCCAAACTGGTGCTCTTCGTGGTAGTTGTATGTGTGGGCAGAACTAGGCTGTTAGTATCATGCCAACCATGGATACCATCTCTGTGTTTACGAGAGTCAACATAAGCAGAACTCGGTTTTAATTGGTATGTTTTCTTTTTCCAGGAGCTGGAGGAGGGAATGATATTCAGTGGTGTTTTTCTCAGGTGAAAGGAGCAGTAGATGATGATGTAGCAGAAGGTAAGAAAGCGTTTAATAATGCAAATTTTGGATATATAATTTTTTCAGAAATGTTTCCTACTGAGGGATTTCCTTGAAGCCGAAACTGCTATAAATTCAAGATGATTTTGTGTTTATTGTCCAAGAAATGTAAGAACAGTTTTAAAAGTTACCTTTCTGAGAAACAGCCTTAAATTTCATTTGTTATTTATGCCTTGTTTTTATTATTTTTTCCTCTGAATTTATATGAAAGGTGATGAGACATACAAAATCCTCACGTGAAAGCTGTGAGCTGCATTTAAGGGTTTCTTTGTTATGTAAATTCCACATACAAATAAATGGCGATGCATTTTTATGTTTGTACATTGTTTTAGATAAGTAAATTGAAATAGGTGCCAGAAACATTCTTAACAGCGTCTTTGATTTTTATGGGAAGATTTTTAACTACTTTTGAATTTGTCCACTTTGGGAGTGTGATGCTGATTGGCATATTCTGTGAAGAAATGATAGCTCAGGTTATTCATTTTGTTGTCTTTCTGGTATTTAGGTGGATAAGACAGTAACAATGCTATGCATATATCGCTTGTCTTCTAGGAAGCGCATATTCTTGTGCAGGTAGAAACTGTGTTTGATCAGTTGAAGTACTTACGTCTAATTTTCTCCCCAAATTTGTTTACTAATGTGTTTCAGAAGTTTAAGTTTTGGAACTTCAAGGTTTTGCATTCATTTGAGATGGTCTTAGGCAGCAGAGGCATTTCCCACAAAGTTGTTGCATTGTTTCATTCCTCAGAAATGTTGACGTTTTTTAATGGTATTGTGTGTCTTGAATTACAGTAGGAATTTTCCAAACAAAACTCATAAATTTAAACATGTACTTTTGAATTTTAAAAATTTGGTGAAAATTCATAAACCTTTTTTCCCTAGATTGTGTTGTCCTCATATTTCTGACCTGTCTGTAGGGTACTCTTTTGGAGGTTTTTTTTCAGGTGGTGGGTGGTAGCCGAATGCTTTTATTTGCTTGTGTCAGTGTCATTCTTAATGAAGTGTCTGTTTTAGAGTGTGGTGAATCCTATGGGAAGCCAACTGGCACAGGTTATACTTGTCATATTTTACAGAGCTCGCTCACGTTCCTTTTCTTTTGAATCCGTATCTATTTCTTAGATGAGAAACCAGAGACAAAAGAGACTGACTGATAGTCATGCAAATAGTGTAAATCAAGGTTTTCTGATGAAGTCAGTAGTGTTTGACTTGTTTAGAGAAATAAGTCCTAACTTCAAGGGAGGAGTTGTGTATTACTCATGTTGTAACTATATTACCTGTTGAATAGTAGACACTCCAGTATTGGATCATTAGTTCTGTGCAGTTGTGTAACACTCAGCAAATTATGAAAGTGCTGTATACTTGGAAAATATTCTTTGGTTGAATTCCATTTATTCCCTTAGGAAAGTTCCCCTAAATGCTGAGCACTGAGGGTGCTTGGTGTCTAGAACATAAACTCTGCCCACAAGGAGCTCATAGTTTGCTTGTTAAACATTAGGCAGAAAGACCGCATGGCTTTATTTAATGAGAAGAAATTGATATTTCAAACTGAAGATCATTTACCTAACTGAACCAAATAGCTTGTGATATACATTAAGTCCTCCCTTAATGTTCTGTGACTTTAAGCAAAGAAAGCAAGTTCTATAACAAAAGATGCTGAGCAGAAAAAAAAGTCAGTTTTCAAGAACATACTGAGGTGAAGTTAGGAGATAAATGAGTTATAGTTCCCCTTTGCTGATACTGAGTAGGTGCATTTTTCTACTGATTCATTAAATAATTTTCTTTAGAGGTTAAATATTTTAACGTAAGCATATTCTTAGCATCCTAAAACGCTGATACTTGGTATATAATTTTAGTAAAATAACATATATCTTAGTAAAAATACGACTTGTTCTAATAGGTATCATTATACAAATGTATTAAGTATAAAAATCCAATTTTCAAGTGACACCACTTTAATTTGGGTATTTCTGCATGCTAGAGTTTGAATATTATAGTCTTGTTTGTTTTACTAAGGGAAGATTTGCTTTTCTGAAGTAAAATAAGATTATTAACACATTCCCTACCCCCCTACGTTTAGACTGATTTCTTAAACAGGTTACATGTAGCTCAACTTTTACTTGCCTGTTTTCTGTTAATGATACATCTTGATTGTCTCCATATTGCCTACCTTTCTCCCGTCTACATGCGGTCAGCTGCCAGGGCATACCATTTTTACTCTTAATATGCCTTAATATTCTTTGCATACCTGCTTTCACCTCTGTTCAGGTTTCCACTCTCCCTCATCCGAGTTGCAGTAAGTTCCTAAATTATTCCCTGCTTCTTCATCCTATGTTTTGCTTGAGAGTTAATCTTAAATGCAGTCCTAGTTTTGTCGTTTTCCTCATAAGTCCACGGTGGATCACTGTATCCACTGGATTAGGAATTAAGTTCAAACATCTCAGTCTAGAATGTGTGACCTTTGTCCAATATGGCCTCTCCTTCTCTCAGTTTATTTGCTGCTATGGCTGATGACCCAGCTAAACAGATACTGTTCTTCAAAGGCGTTCTATGCTGTCTTACTTTAGGGTCTTTGTTTTTGCTGCTTCTACCTTGGAATGCCTGACAGTCCTCCCACAGTTCTCTTACCAGGATCCTGTTCATCCCTCAAATCATGCCTTTAACCTTTTTGCTAATTCTGTCTTTTGGAAATACCTGTTTTTAAAATCTTTCTTTATGGCACTTTATTACATAGATATCATATAGTACCCCACATCTCTACTGTTACGTACTACAAAGTTTAGTGCAGGACTGATTTATCTTCGTACCTTATGCAGGCATGAAACTGCTCTGTCTAGAACAATGCCTGGCACACAGTAGTTGAATATTTGTTTGAATGAAGGAACATAAATATTACTGTTCTTAGGTTTTGAAAGGGGATGAGAAGTGGTAAGGGGATGATTGAGATGTACTTCTAGCAGTCATGGATTTAGTTATTTGGTAGGCTTTTTAAAATAAAAATTTAAAATGCTGTCTGCAGAATCATTGGTAGGCTTTTTATAACCAGATTGATGATATACAACCGTATAATACAAAGAAATCAGGAGACCTAGGGTTTTTACCCTAGCTCCAACACAAACTAGTGTGTGTCACTGGGGATAAGTACTCCCCTGGGTTTCTGTGTGTTTAGTAATGGAATAATAAGAACAGATTAGGTGATTTCTGCTCTTCCTTGTACTGTAATCTTGTTAATTTCCAAAAGCATCTAAAAACAGCCCAAGTTCTTTTTTTTTTTTTTTTTTTAGTGAGACAGAGTCTCACTCTGTTAGGCTGGATAGCAGTGGCGCAATCTCGACTCACTGCATCCTCCGCCTCCGGGGTTCAAGTGATTCTCCTGCCTCAGCCTCTTGAGAAGCTGGGACTACAGGCGCATGCCACCATGTCCGGCTCATTTTTGTATTTTTATTAGAGATAATTTTGCCATGTTGGCCAGGCTTGTTTTGAACTCCTGACCTCAAGTGATCCACCTGCCTCGGCCTCCCAAAGTGCTGAGATTACAGGTGTGAACCACCAGCCACAGAATTATTACTACTGGTAATTAATACTACTGATATTATTTGAGATGCTGGACTCTCTAGAGGCCTTAAAAAATAAATTATTGCTAGTAATCTATTTTATATTTTTAATTTTTCTTTTATTGAAAACTTTCTGTCATGAGACAGTAGGTAAGAGCACAGACTCAGGTGCTAGGCTACATGGTTTGAATCTTGCTCAGCCATTTATCAGTTGTGTGGTCCTCTCTGTGCCTAGCTGCCCTCTGTAAAATGAGGATAACAATGAAACCTGTCTTTTTTACAGTGTTGTTTTGATGATTAAGTGAATTTATACACATAAAACAGAACAGTACCCAGCACAAAAGAGCCTTATGAGGATTTGGATACTATTACTTGAACCTTCATATTATTGTTACTTTGAAGGAAGAGTCTTTGGAGTATGAGTAAATTGGGGATTTGTCTTTAAAGCCTATTAAAAATTTCTCAAAGTGAAGGAAATAGCATGTATGTGTGTTTTATACATACTCTTTGATTCCACTAATAATAAATTACCAAATACATTCAAAACTAACCTATAGATTTAGAGACACATATGAAGCTGGTAAAACTATGAAGAAAAGCTGTGAAGTAAAAGGAAAAAAAGTACTGTAAAAAGTACTATGAAAGTCAGTATAGTGGCTGCCTTTAAGCTGTTGGAAGGGAGTTGTGATTGGGAAGGGTAGGGGAGGCCCTTGGGTGCCATCTTGACTGGAATGGCGGTTGTACAGATGTTTGTAAAGACTAACCTGGGCATTTTTGTTTCAATTTTTGTTTTTCTTTATCTGTTAAATTTTACAATAAGAGGATTTTAGAAATCTAATACAGTACTAAAGAGTTTAGGATGGAAAATGGCAGTCCCCTACCTCCCCACTCCCTAATCCCTAGTCCATCTCCTAAGAGCAGTTGTTCAGCTCATCTGCTGGATTCCTTGGTGCATCATTTCCTTTTTGGGTATAAAATGATATTTCTGTATCTTGTCAATTTTAGCATTTTCAGCTGACTTGCTCATCTAGTAGGTGATAACTAAGCTGTTCACATTATCACCCCCATTTCTGTCCCTATTGTGCCCCAATGTTACATCACACACTATGATTAAATTGGACGTCAGTGCTTAAGTTGTTATGACCGTGCACACTTCTCTACTGAACCAGTAGTGCTCTACAATGTTTATTTCATCCTGAAGGTAATACAGTAATTGCTTGTTTGTTAAGTTGGCTACTATTTGCTTTTTTAAAAAACTTAATCTGGAAAGTATGTGGAATAGTATAATGAACTCCTGTCACCCGTCATTGTCAACGGCCAGTGCTGCCCCATTTATGCTTCCATCACTTGACCCTTTCCCATCCTTTTGTTATTTAATAATGTAATATTTGTTTTTAAAATCTGGATTTAACAAAATAGAAAGCAAGT